CTTGACGATGCATTTCTGAAGTCCGAAATATCCAACAAATCCGAATTCTTGAGTCCGAAAAATCTGTCAGCGACTGTACATGATCCACTTTCCGGCAGCTCCTTGGGTAACCGATGAGTCATTGTGGAAGTCAATCACCTGACGCGCTACACTGAGACCGCAGCACTTTCGGCTGCTACTGCGAGCAAAGTCGCATTCTTCAATTTGTGGAACTTCGTTCTTCAGCATGGAGCCCCAAGGGAATCGCGAGGTGACAGAGGGCACATGTTCCTTTTCGAAGTAATACAAGCCCTTCTTGCTGCAAGCAACCAAACAACCTTCCATCCGCAAATGAACGGCTTGACGGAGAGGTTCAACTGCACTACCGGCGAGCTGTGCACTATGTACGTCGCCTCGGATTATAGCAATGGGATACTATTTTGCCATTCGTAACATTACCTTACAACACTGCCATACAAGCTACCTCTGGCCTTATGCTGTTCTATCTGCTAAATGGACAAGGGTCCTCTTGCACCATAGATATGCTGTTTTCGTACCGGCCTAACCCTTCCAAGTGCATGACGTTGTCTGAAAGAGCCAAACACACAAAGGACTGTAGGCAACTTGCACGTACACTTTCAACCGCCGCACAAGGTCGTGAAAAGCTGCGGTATGACACCGATGAGTCTACACTACATTTTGCGACTGGTTTACTAATTTGGCTGTCAGTCCCACCACACAGCCCTGGACTTTCAACAAAGTTTCTTGTCCATTGTCATGGCCCCTCTCGCATAATTGACCGCACATCCTCTGACAATTACGTCGTTAAACCCGTGATGCCATCCCTCGACTAAAGGCATCACGGTCATGATATGGTGCATGTTAGCCGACTGAAGCCATATTAGGACCCTTTGATACTACCTGCGCCTTGGTTGGCAGGATGGCTCCTCTTTACTCCTAGGGGCCATTGTAAAGAGAAAGACAACGAGTTTTGCGGTTGTTGCTGTGCGCACGATCTACTTCCGTGTTCCCTTGATACTACCTTGACTGTTTAAGGGGAGACACGGCTCCTGGGACCCGAAAAATTTGCCCAATATTCAATTTTCAAGTGTCATTTTCGTACCCGTGTTCATGTTTTCGTTTCGAGATCCCGCGTATCAGCAGCCTAACAGTAAATCAAAGATGCGTTGGCATGCCCCCAGCTGTTTAAACTTTGGACAAATCGCGCTTATTTTGGCTGCCTGTAACTTTTGAACGGCCCGCTACAACGCGGCCATTTTGGTATAGTAGTTGAAAAGCTCTTCCGTTCGGCTTTTTTATTGCTCGGTCGGGTAGCACTGAACTTGCCACTTTCTCAAATAAGAAGGAAAAAGAAAGGCGCAGAACATTGTCACTGGCCACTTCTGATCAAGTGGCTAAAATGGCGTCGTCTGATTGGCTTTGGCCGCTGTATTTGAAAACCTGGCTAGTTGAGACACCATTTTGGCTTAGGTTACTATACTCCAACGAACGTGCTTTGAGGACCGAGAAAGTTCCACTCTGTGTATGAGATTGGCCGAAGGCGAGCCAAAATGAAAAAAAGAAAAGCACGAATAACACGACATCACGGGTTTCTGCAAGCAATCAGCAAGTGAGCGTTATTGCTTAGGCACCCGATATTGGCGATGGAGGCGATTGCGGTCCTCTCCACAAAGGCACGGTATCGTGCCACTCTGCAACCGAGGAGCAAGCGACTCGCAGTGCCGGAGCATCTGACATTGTTGGCGCAGGTAATAGCGGTCCGCAAGATAAGGGCATGCCATCGCCTGGCTTTACAAGCGATAAGCAAGCGGCCCACGACAATGCAGCTGACAGTGATCCGCCGGAGAACGATGGCATCCTTCGCCCCGACTATAGTCTCGCGTGAGTTCACACTGAAGCTGTCACGAGCAGCTACATAGCACGAGTGAGTGCTCGTGAGCAGGTCATGCCTGAACAACTTGAATCAGCACCGGCGACAACGCGAAAGACTGTGGTTTTCACCGTTACAAGCAATGCGTCATATCGGACTTTGCCGCGGACACTGAAGCTTCGTATTTGACGGTCGACTTGGAGATTCTGAATGCGCTTCTCGTCGATTCCCTATGGTGCAAAGCGTGGTGCAAAGTAAGTGGCGGGTGTGGGAAACTAGTCACGGGTGACCGCGACTACGGCCTCGCTAAGAAATTCATAGTGAAGTGCCGCTGTTGTGGCGAAGTGACGATGGCATAGAACTCGCGCAGAGTCGATGGTGAAAAGTTGTGCAATGCATTTGAAATACAACATTTTATCCATGTATGATATGCTCTGTTGTAGGAATGACCAGACATTCATGAATGATAGTTTCGCGTCGATGGGACTGCCACAGCGAGGGCTGTACAATAAAACAGCAATTTTTTTCACTTGGTTACCCAAAGTTGCGTTTCTGATGGTGTCATATTGGAGCAACAATATCTCTGGTTCTACTCAACCAGTTTTATTAATTCTTTTTTTTTGTCAGAAAGGTGGTGAATTGACAAGTGCACTAGGACTAGCACATAGTAACATATTATTAAAGAACATTTAAAAAATGTTTTTTGAAGTTATTATTGGGTTTTACAAATGAATTTTCAGATGCCCTAATTTATTCGTGATTGTTGTAAAATATTCATTCTTGGCTGATTGAACCTGTATATCATCCTAAATCAGTGTAGTATTCAAGAGATTTCCATACTTATTTCTAACTTGTCCTGAAATGTTTTTCCTTGTTTTCTCAAAACTGCATTTTCGATCACGGTGTAGTTTTAGAGTGATGATACCTCTGGTGGTATTTACTCGCATAATCCTCGCTCTTTTTTTGGCGGAATAGCGATGCAAAGTTGGGGGTGCGAGAATTACTGCGGCGAATACTTTCCACAAATATGTACAGAGCGAAAAAGAAAACGAAGTGGTCGCAAATTGGGATATTCACACCAGCAACTAACAGCAAGCTTTGAGAAGTACCAATTAAAAGTAAGCTCAACAATAAAAGCACAGGTTCAACACAAGGCAAGATTTATTTAAGACACAAAAAGTGCAAGCAAATAGTCGAGAATTAGAATACCACATGCAAGGCTTGTGGGCGTTGCGGGCGTAGCGGTAGCATTCGCCGCTCAACAGGAGCCCTCGAAAGGTAAGCCTAGGACGTCAGTACAGTCGCCGACCGATTTTCCGGACTCCAAAAATTCGGACTTGTTGGATATTCCGGACTTCATAAATGCACCGTCAGGGATCCCATAGAGCTAATGCATTGTTTCGACCGATTTTTCGGGCGAATTTGCCCCTGAAACTTCGATGTTTCGGACTAAATCGCTCGTTTTGTGCCACGCCCCAAGCCATTGTGAACGCCGCCATGTTGGATTTTCTGTCGGCTTGGCTAAGCTTGGTCTTCAGATGCTTTTCCTGCCTCTGAGATTGGAATGCGCACGCCATACTTTAAGTTTCGGAGGCCGTGTTTGCTTTTTAAAAGACGCGGTGATGGATGCCGTTTTTTCGTCTTCGGTCAGCACTATCGTCATCACATCGCACGGGGAGGAGGCGAAAGAAGGATTCTCTACCTGCCACAATGACATTTAAAGACTTCACTCGTGCGGACGACGACATTGTTTCGTGCGCGGAGGCCACTGACGACGAAATTCTTCGCCAGGTTGTCCCGGAACCGGAGAGCCGAAGGTTGTCCCGGATGACGACAACGACGACCGCCCGCAGCCGTCGGCGGCGGAGATCGCCAACGCGGTGACAATTTTGTCGAGCGTTTATGGCGACGATGTCACCTTGGCGCAAACACGGGCAAACCAAATTGCCTCCAAGCGTAGTTTGAGGCAAGGCAGCATCAAGGACTTTTTTAAACCTGCCTGATGCAATAAACTTCAGATTTTTGGCGAAAACGAATTTTTCGGACTGTTCGATGTTTCCTACTTTTTTTCGGTCCCCGCCAGGTCCGAAAAATCGGTCGGCGACTGTATTGGGCTAATAGTTATTTAACAGAATCATCCGCAGTTTCCTTCTGAAGAAATAAAGTTTACCATCAATCCCAGTTTTAGGCACACGGCAGGCCCAACAGGTCTTGGTGGCTTTCAGCTGCCGCCACAAGTAGCGAACACAAAACTTGTAGACTCCGAAAGGCCTACCAGCAGCTCTGTTGCCGTTGTTAAGCGCATGATCTACCACTTTCAACTTGAAATAGGCCGTGTAGCTTCAGTATCGCCCCACAACGTGGCAAGATTACCAACACAACATACAAAACACCCCGCAACGCGCACTTGCCACTTTGGCTTGACTTAGACTGAATTGAATCTCCGTGCAATAATAGTGCGCTTGACTCTCAAGAGATGGCTGGAACGAGCAGAGGACATTATTGCGGCAGTTTTCGGGGGTGCGATAATTACTCGAAGAAAAAAAGAAATCGTATTTTTGTTGGGCGATGCGGGGGGTGCGGGAAATATGCGAGTGCGAGGATTACGCGAGTAAATACGGTACTTACCCTATCGTAGTGATTTTTGTTTCGTTAGAAAAGTGGACAAATGGGGAGTGCAGTAAGCATACAATTTCATTGAATAACATGAGATATGTTTTCAAAAAGTAAAAATTTATGCAGTGTGTTACTAAAGCATCTTGCTTACAAATGATTGACAAGCTGTAACTTTGGCCCAAATCAGTCTAGAGCATTCTTGTAGCGCTGCAAGCTGCGTCTATACAACACAATTTTTTCATATGCCACTGTCTTTTAGCACTACCAGCATTCAAGAAAAAAAATCACCCCGAAATTAAAATTAGTCAATGCAAAAAACATGAATTTCTCAATACTTTGAAAGTACTTGTTGCACAGAAAAGGTAACTGCATATTTGAAATCAGCGTGTCAAAATACATAAAGGATGAATGTTTGATAAAAAATGACCCATAAATAAAAAAATTTTCAGGTGGGGTGTACCTCATCACTGCCTTGTAATAAATCATCGTACGACAACATGAACAAAAAGCTCACCTTCCAGCGGCGCATGGTCCGGTGCACAGTCAGGGCAGTACCATTCCTCTATTGGAACGGAGTCTAGCGGGGGGCTCAGACACTCACAGTGATAGCCCAGATCACAGGCATCGCAAAGTAGCAGCCGGTCCTCGCGATCACACCGACCACACACCTCGCAGTACGTCAGGTCTTCCTCTTCCTGTTGCTCCTGTTCCTGCTCACCAGGGGCTGGCACAGAGATTTGGTGCACGACACGGTCCCCCTTGCGCACCAAGATGAGCCGGAACACTGACCGGTCCACAGGGCAGGTGTTCATGTTCTGCACATGTGCAACAGTCCCACCAGAAACGTTTGCTCATGCATCTTGCATTCTTGATTACTCAATTAAATAAAATACAATTTGTTAAAGTTGTCTCCGTGCGACTGAACGTTTCAGTAATCTTGAACCCAACCAGAACTTTCATCTGACGCTCATAAAAACTTACGAGACAAACTTGACTGGAATTCCCGTGCCCGCCTACAGTGACAACTCGTATCGCTTGGTGCTTCATTTTTCCACAAGGGTGCAGCAGAACACCACTGATGTTTTTAGGGTGACCACGAAACCATGAAGAAAAAAAACAAAGACTTGCGAGTGGAGAAATGCAAGAAGCGAGAAATACGAAAAAGTTTTAAAATGAGTTTCAACAACATCCACAATACTATTTCAATGCTTAAATTTGAAAACTGCAGCACTGGATGGTACTATCAGAGTCAAATAAAACCTGAACAGCGGCAAGCCTTCATGATAGTATAGTGCGTGCCAGTCCAGTTATCATGGTTGACAGACGCGCGCATCCTCTTCGGCAACTCTGCGCACATACCGTAATTACTCAAATCTAACGCGCACATTTTTCCGGTTAAGGGGAGACACGGGTATGGGAGGCCGAAAATTTTCCGAAAAACCGATTTTTTGAAGTATTTTTTTTCATAATCATTAAGGTCTAAGGAAGCTGTTCCTAAAATATTATAGCCCTGTAATGCGTATTTGTCGAGTTATTAGGTCACAAAGTCAGTTTGATGACCATTTTCACTTCCGAAACCCCCTCAAAAACGGTCGTATTCAACGCCGCAGAGCGCGAGAACTGTACCAAGTAGCGCGGCCATTTTGGTCTCATTTTAAAGACGCATTTTTCTATTATCTGTTCTTAGCAGAAGAGCGTTTTTCGTCTAGCAACAACGCAGCTATCGCGCATAAAGAAAAACTGAATACTCGCACATCATTGGTGCGTTTTTGTCACGTGGGGCAGTTCCCGGTTTCCTATTGGACGCGAAGGAATTTGTCTGCTAGACAGCGGCGTGCAAGCCGCCATTTTGCGTAGAGGCGTAACAACGGCTGTGCATTCGGTGCAATGGCAGGCGGTCATCGCAAGTTCCGGAGTGCTCATGCGTTCGGAAAAAAGGCGAAAACGGTCTTTTTTTCGAGACTCGGATGGAGCCGCAACGCCTGGTACGCCGTTCACCGTCGTTAGCTTAGAGTTGGTCAACGAACTTCTTCAGTCTATGAAGTGCGGTGTGTGTGGCGGGCCTGGCAGAATCTCCAAGGAAGACCACGAATATGGCATAGCCGCGAAACTTGTTTTCACATGTGACGAGTGCGGTAAACTGAGGACCGTATGGAGCTCGCCGAGAGCAGGGGGGGACGCAGCGCACGGCCCCTCCGAAATTAACGAGCTCGCGGTTCGCGTGGCAATGAGCACAGGAAACGGGTAAACTGCGCTCAACGATATTTTTTCCGCCCTAAATATTTCACGGAAAGGCCTGCACACTAAGACATACCAGGATTATGTGAAATTGAAAGTGAACCCTGCCGCGCAGAAGGCTGCCGCGCGCGTTATTGACGACTGCGCGAGCACCGTGAAAACGGTGTATTCCGAACTCAACTATGGAAATCCTGGAAATATCGCCGTTTCCTTTGATGTGACTTGGCTGACCAGGGGCCACTCATCCCATATTTGTGTAAGGACCGTGATTGAACTATTTACGGGTTATGTGCTCGACTTCGTCGTCCTATCGAACTTTTGTTTGGGCTGCCAGCTAGGGCCGAAGGAGGACAACCCAAAATATGCCGAGTGGCTAGCTGGTCACACTTGCCAAAATAATACCTCCAGTAAGCCAGGACAAATGGAGGTGGAAGCAGCACAAATTTTATTTGGCCGCTCATTGGAGAGACATGGGCTCCGCTACACAACCATGTTGTGTGATGGAGACAACCGGGCCTTCAACAGTCTGCAGGAGGCACAGGTATATGGCTTCGTGCCGATAGAAAAAGAGGACTGTGTCAACCATGTGCATAAGCGCATGGGCACAGCACTTCAAAACCTCCTGCAAAAACGAAGAGCCGAAGGAAAGCCAAGCCTTGGCGGCAAAGGCAAACTGACAGGCGAGCTGGTCACAAAGCTCACGTCATATTATGGATGGGCTTTACAAAGCAACCAAGGAAGCATTGAGGCCATGAATAATGCTGTCTGGGCAACCTTTTATCACGTAGCATCTACTGATGCAAGCCCTCAGCACTCTCACTGCCCAACTGGTGAAGAGTCATGGTGCAAGTACAACAAGGCTGTTGCCAAGCAGGAGACTCCTCCGAATCATCGCTACAGCCTGCCGGAGTATGTGGTTGATGCCTTGCGGCCTATTTACACGCGCCTCTCTGACAAGAAATTGCTGGAGCATTGTCAGCGAGGCAAAACACAGAACCCAAACGAGAGCCTGCACTCCTTCATCTGGTCGCTGGTGTCCAAAAACAAACATGCGTCGCTTTTCATCTTTGAAGCTGCTGTGGCCGAAGCTGTCGCAAGGTTCAACGCTGGCAAAGGGAGAGCAGATGCCGCCCTATTGAAGGAGCTGCACCTGCAGCAGAGTGTTGTGGCGGCTGAAAGATGCTCAGAAAAGGACAGTCGCCGACTAGTGGCATCGGAGAAGAAGCATGAGCGTGCTGAAAACTTCAAGCATGCCATGAAAAGAAAGCGCACCAAGGAGAATAATGATGACTACATTCCTGGTGGCTTCTAACATGGTTAATACACCGATTCACACCTTTTCTTGTTAAATATAAGTGCTCAGCATGTTCCTAAACTTCTTTTCTCGTTTTCTCAAAACATTTTTCATCACACCCTAAGCCATTGCTCACAGTATCTTTTGATGTAGCAGTCGGATTTTGATAACTCTTGCAGAATTTGAAAGCTCATACATTGATTAGTGCAAGAAAACCAAAAAAACGTAATATTTTTATTTACAATAGAGATTTAATTAGCAACAAACTTAAGCAACATTTTCAGATTTCTAATGAGTATAATTGTTAAGGCCATAACTCTGGTACCAATGAAGCTAAAAATAAAATTATAGTTTTGTTGCACTCCCTGGCCTTCATGGAATGCTGTCATATCAAATTTGTAGCAACATTTTATGAGGAAGATGTCAAAAGGCTGGGCAGAATGCAAGTTTATGTAACAGTCAATATTTAAAAATCTAAAAGTGATAGCAGAAAACTAATTGCATATTTGTTTTCAGCTGTGAAAAATACATATTGTATTAAAATTTCAACTGGAAATACTGAAAATTAAAAAAAAATTTTTCAGACCAGTGTTCTCCCCTTAAGCGAGTTCATAAATCGCATGCGCAATAGAATCGAGTACGAAAAAAAAAAAAAAACGAATTCGGTCATTCTATTGCCAACGGCATTATCAAAATGGCTGCCCCCTACGTGCGTCGGCATGGCGCGGCGGCCATTTCTATCTATGTGTTTCCCATGTGTGGCACTTCGTACGTGTACTGAGGAGTTCGTCATCTTGTAGTGCATTAGCATCGACGGCATGGAAGGGCCGACTCCAAAAACTCGAGTGCACCACGATGCCGCTTTTAAAAGAAAAGTCATCGCGTGTGCAGAAACAAACGGAAATCCGGCCGCATCGCGGTCGTTCGGAGTTCCGGAAACGTGCGTGCGAGACTGGCGGAAACAAAAGCAGAAGATTGTGTAGGTGTTCTGTGAGATTGTCGACAGCAAAGCTTCACGCAAAGGCTTCAGTGGACCACAGCAGGGTTGGTTTCCGCAAATTGAAGAGCTGCTCGGTGAGTATGTGCTTGAGCAGCGAGTGGCCCGTGACGACAGAACTACTCCAAGTGCGGGCTATGCAGTTAGCCTTAGAAAAAGGGCTAATGCGGAGCCAGTTGAAAGCGAGCAGGTGCTGGCTAACTAACTTTATGAAAAGGAAAGGCTTTTCCCTCCGAAAGCGAACGGCATATGCGAAAAGTTTCTGGAGGAGTACGATGAAAAGCTTCACAGTTTTCAGAGGTTCGTCCAAAACTTGCGGAACAATAACGGCTACCTGCTTGGGCAAATCGGGAATGCCGATCAGACGCCTCTTTACTTCGACATGCCTGGCACCACAACCGTTGAGAAGAAAGGGGCGAAGCAAGTTCGCGTGCTGACATCGATCCACGGTAAAACTACAGTGACGGCAATGCTCTGTTACACATCAGATGGGCACAAGCTTCCGCAGTACCTCATATTTAAATGGAAGACGCTCCCGAAAGGAGTCGTTTTTTCGAGTAGTGTGATCGTGCGGGCCAACGAGAAAAATGGGTGCCTGTTGCAATCGATGTCTTATTTTCCTTCTTTTTTTCTGTCGCGGAAACCGGGTGCGCGTTACAATCGAGGGCGCGGTAGAATCGAGTAAATACGGTATGCCTGTCCATGGTAATAGGCGGACGGCATGCACTATGCCATCCGAAGGCGTGCCACTGTTCAGGTTTGATTTGACACAGATAGTACAGATTTACAGCGAAGCTGTCATAAGGTAGTTTCAGAAAATTGCATGCGCCTACAAGGAGTGTTGAAAAGAGTGGCCATGTGAGCCCCATGCTCTTCGCACCCTGGCGCGAGACCCTGATTCTTCACACATCCTGAAGTTCTTATCGAAAACCATGAGCTTAAAACGGTGCGATACTTTTTGTATGTGACGGTGTGAAATTACCCACAATACCGACGAGCCACAGACCAGACTGCTTTGCTGGTCACTCATCTTTACAGAGTGGACTGGCTCTGAATTCTTTCCCAGCAAATATGCAAAGGGTGTTGTTCAAGCACCTGTGGTGGCATGTAGCTATCGATATTGTCTTTATGGCCACTGAGTGAGCTTGAAACAGGGGTCATAAACATTCTGGAGGCCCCAAAGAAATAGTAACCAGATCACTACAAGTGCACACAACCCAAACAGTATTTCGTTTGGGTCTTGTGTTGGGGAAGTTGTTCCTCGAACCAGGCATGTGCTCCAAAGCCTGCCCGATACCCACCTTAGCCCACTCTTGGATGCAGTCGAGGCAGAATATGTGGTCACAGCTTTCAGGTGTGCCCACTTCTTGGCCCAGGAAACGATTGAGGCAAACAGCACATCGCTCAGCCTGTGCGTCGCTCAAGTCACTGTCACTAGCCTCGCCTGTAGCATCGGCAGCCTTGCGTGGAGCAACGGAGACGGCTTTTTTGGTTGGCGCTGCTGCCACAGCAACGGCCACCTGCTGCTGGCAGCTCTCCAAGAGCAGCTCTGCAATGCAGCAAGCATGGATGAGCAGCTGCAGTCATTCAAAGCTACGAATGATGGGAATCGTGTACCACACTCCATATTACAGCAAGTAAAAACTACGAAAGCGTCAGCAAGAATTTTTTCATTTGTTCACATCAGTTAACAAATAATGTGTAACAGTGTAGTAGCATTCAAAAGAAAAACATATGCCATAAAATTTCATGCAAAAATGAAGACTGATACTTCTATTTCATGAGGTAAGACAAAACTGCGTGAAAGGTGTTCAAGATATGAAACTTACCATCAAATGAGCAGAGTAATGTGATTCTGCAATGGGGCGGAAAGCTGAGCAAATTTGTTTTTGGAAATTTATGTGCCAACATGTACCGTACTTACTTAGGTAATCCTCGCACCCCTCACATCGCCCAACAAAAATACGACTTTTTTTTCCTCGAGTAATTATCGCACCCTTGAAAATTGCCGGAATAATGTCGTCTGCTCATTCCAGCCGTTGATGATGATAGCGTGCGCCATCTCTTATGCGTCAAGTGTACTATTATTGCACGAAGATTCAATCCAAGCCAAGCCAAAGCGGCAAGTGCGTGTTGTGGCGTGTTTTGTTTGTTGTGTCACTAATCTTGTTACGTTATGGGGCAATACTGAAGCTACACGGCTGCTTTCAAGTTGAAAGTGATTGATCATGCACTAAACAACGGCAACAGGGCCTCTGGTAGGCCCTTTTGAGTCTACGAGTTTTGTGTTCGCTACTAGTGACGGCAGCTGAAAGCCACCAAGATGCAATCGGGCCTGCCTAGTGTCTAAGACTGGGATTGATGGTAAAATTTATTTCTTCAGAAGGAAACTGAAGACGATTCCGTTAAATAGCCATCAGCCCAATACTGACATCCTAAGCTTACCTTTTGAGGGCTCCTATTGAGTGACGAACGCTATCGCTACGCCCGCAACGCCCATAGGCTTTGCCTATGGTATTTTAATTCTCGACTAATTGCTTGCACTTTTTGTGTCTCAAATAAATTTTGCCTTGTGTTGAACCTCTGCTTTTATTGTCGAGGTAAATTTTAATTAGTACCGCTCAAAGCTTGCTGTTAGTTGCTGGTTTCAGAATCCCTATTTGCAGCCACTTCGTATTCTTTTTCGCTCGGTACGTTTTCGTGGAAAGTTTTCCCCACGTAATTCTCGCACCCCCAACTTTGCGTGGTTTTTCCGCCAAAAAAGGTGCAAGAATAATGCGAATAAATACGGTATGTGAGCATGTTGCAAGTACAGATACTTTTGAAAGACTCAAGTAGGTGGTTATGGTTCATATACAAGTGAAGTTCATATTGATGTCGCAAGGTGTTGCATGTTCTACTCGGTTGCGTGGCAAACACATTTCAAAATTTATTTCAAAGATGTTTCAGGCTACATATGCTGTTGATATAGTGCGGCTGAAGCGTGTGTGTCCATCTAAATCAATCTCACCACTTATCTTGCATTGTAATCATCCCTTTTAAACATACGATTGAGCCTACAAATCAAATGCAAAATAGATTCCTGACATACCATGTTTGACATGGCCACACAAGTGGTTGTTTCACCATACCAACATCACTTAGCTGGGTGTAGGCACAACAAAAGCTCGCTAATTTCGATTTCAAGGGACTGGAAGAAATGTCCGAGTTAACCGAATGCCAAATTACCAAATGTATATGAAAACAACAAACAAATACCTGTTACGTGAATACACTTTCATTTTCCTGATGAATATGAAATACCGCACTTATCACAAAGAAGAGCAATGTAAAAGCAGCATTATTTGTTGTCCTCAAACTTCATTCACAATGCGACTTACGGCGCAATATTCGCCCTTCCTCATTACAGCCCCCAGCAACAACACCACACAATAGTTTTTATTTTGCTTGTAAAGAGGCCCATAAGTAACTATTCGTCCCTCATCATACAGCAAGAGTGTTTTGTGGAGACAGCGACCGAAAGCTCGTGATCCTAAACAGCTTCAGCCATGTTTGAGCCTTAAACATGTGTGTACACAACACAAGTTCAAGCAAAGCTGCTTAGTGTTGGATTCACATTAGGACAAAACCATGGTAACTGATTGAAAGAGCGATTTGGACTGTGCTGCCTCACTCTGGTTGTCCGCAAGCCAGTTTGTGCTCTTTCCCGTCGCACAATTGCAGCGCTCCGTGCTTGGCACGCTTAGAGGGTCGTCCAAACGAACCGGGTTGCAGCCAAATGTGACTCAATTACCTAGAGTTTGATGCCTTAGAATAATGCACATGCTGGCCCGGACCAGAGCAAACTGCCAAATTAGCCGATTTCCCAAATTAACAAGGATCAAATGAGGAAACTTTTACTGTAGTTATCAATTGGTGCGAGGTTGCTGCAAGTACTGCTTAGAAATCGCTGCACGCATAAATTAGCAATGAATATCTGTGGCATAAGAAAGCAGAAGATTACAAACAAGTACTTTTTGCTCCCTGTACCAGAATATTTTGCCATTTGTGACGGTACGTTGAACAACACTATCACGTTTTTAATGCACTGACGGAAAAATGAAAACGAACCAGTGAAGATAAAATATTCTGAGTTAAGGGTACTGCCAAAATGTCACTTCGATTACATGTTGTTAGGTTAATTGAGGAAAGGGGGCAAATTAGTTGCTTCAGTCATTCAGCATGAAAGATTCTACACCACACAATGCGGCACTTTTGCTGAAAGCAATTGCCTCAGAATACAACCTTTGCGATGCAGGCTACAATGATCAATTGTCGTGCACTGGGGCAAGTGATGGTAACACAATTGTGCAGGGACTTCAAGGGAGGCATCTGCAATAGGAACCATGCCTACAATAATGGTGCAATTGTATACTTTTCCCACTATACGCACTAGGTGTCACCCACTTAAGAGTTACCTAAATAAATTTAATGTATCCTAAGCATCTTCCCCTATATTGCAGTGGTAGGATAGAGGTAGCACCATCACGTCGAAACAATGGACTTCCACAATGCTGCCAAAATCTAAATGCTAGTTTAGTACGCCCTAGGCCTTCTGCCATCAGGCATAGCTGCTTGATGGACAGCGAGAGCAACTATGCTACAGCCACCACATTAGAAGGTTCCACGGAGGTTTAACTGGCACGTAATTACAAGAGAGACTGTGTTGGCACCGTTTAATACTGCGATCAGCAGCAATACTACTGCTTCCCTCGTATGATTCCATGCACATATAGGTAATTCATGAATAGCTGATGATACTGATAAGCTGACAGTTACATGTAGAAAGTTTCACTTCAACAACTGTTATAGATATAGTGGAACATCCATTATACATCCCCCGGTTTCGTGACGACCTGCATATTACGGCGAATCAGTTCGGTCCCAGCAAAATCCCCATATAAGTAATGTATTAAAGACCTTGGTTATACAATGTGGTTTTACACCAACCCTGCATCTTACGACATTGAGATTCCATCCGAACGAAAAAACTATCTTCACTTGAATCGAACGTCAACCCAATATTCACGAGAGCGAAGTATGAACCTGTGTTCCCCTACGTTGACGATTAGAAAAGTAGAAAGTGAGGCAGATGTCCTTCTTAGAATGAAAAATTTATACTCCTGGAAGTTCATGCGCTTCATGAGATTCCAGGAGTATAAACTTCGGAAGTTCATGAGGCACAAGGTGTGCCATGGGCTTATTCAGGTGGTCTGTACCCGTTTTCGGAGCAAGGCTCAGTGTCACGGCCCACATTAGTTTTTCGATTATATGACCACCGGATTATACGGAAGTTTTGCATAGTCCATGAAAGTCACATAATCGGGGTTCCACTGTATTTGCAGTTTCTCCTACGAAGTTGATATGTACAAGTCGTGTAGGTTTACATAACTAGCAAACAGCTAAGAAAGAACAGTGCTGCATGAATCTCTGTATTTTAGCAATGGTTTAAACGAAGAAAAAGCTGTACCAGAGACATGGCATTACATGTGCAAACAGTTAATGTGATAAAGAGCCCTGCAACAGTTCTTGAGCATGGTCAGAAAACGCTCAAACTGGACGGATCCTAAAACTTTTTTGCGATCGTAAATTTGTGAGGCAATAAGCCCTGTCAGTGAATTCATTCCATGTCTACTTGAAAAAACTTTGCAGGGTGCTTTTAAAGGGGTTTATATTGCTCACGAGGTCTATCGAATGATAGCACTTTTCGTATCGTTCAACAGCAAGATCGAATCAATCAACTGCCTACGTACCTTGGGGAATCTCCTCCCACTCCGACTCGCCACCAGCGTCGTCCTCTGCCGCTGAGTCAGCTTCTTCCGAGGATGACCCAGACTCTCCGCTGCTGCCCTCTTCATCCTCGTCATCCTCATCACCACTGCCTCCCTCCGATTCGCTGTCTGATGAAGACGATGACTGCTCCTCCTCTTCGTCGACTATCACTCTTACGTTGCGCTTGCGCCGCGGAACTATCTCCTCCTCGTCGGAGCTCATGGCAGTTGCACCTCAGTGAACTATTTCAACTGGTCATGGTAGAGTTTGCCTCCTAGAGAGCACAGAAGAATGACATGAGGCACTGGTACTGCAGAGTATGCATATGCCTAGCTGCAAGTGACATCCATATGTGCGCGTATTGCAGCACCACACAATTCTGCAGCTCATAATTCAGTAACAAGTGCATTGCAATGCCAAAGGAAGTGCAGGTTTGTTGGTCTACTGCAAACGGGCACACTTTGAGGCACGGCATTGTGGGCTTAGGTCTCTGAAAGCAAAGTCAAACAGTGTAGCAAGTGCTTTGCACATGCTCCAAGTCAATGAACACGCGTTCTCTACTGCACAGGTAAAATTTCTGCAGTTATCTCCTATACACATCAGTTGCACACATCTTTCATTTAGTGAAATGCATAAAACTCAGTCACTGCAGCACATACAAATTATAATACTGCTGCAATTATTTACATAATGACAGAAGTTCCAGCTAAACATCAATGCGGCTGCAGGCAATCAGGCACTGCAAAGAGCTAACTGCTGTTTCTGGAATTTTCTTTTTTTATAATTGAACCTTCCACAGCCACAAAAAAAGCACACCGCCAAGCTGTGCTTAATTAGCTTGGCAGTTGTGAATTAAACACACAAGATAATCATCACTAATTTAATAATCATACATTTATTACTAGAAGAAAAAAATTTGGTTAAATTCTGCCCTTATACTCTGGCACTAAATACCAGTGCGGTGTCAGGAAATTAAATCTTTTTCTATTTTGATGCCTTTGAACCCATAAAATTAGCCGAAACTTTAGACATTCAGTCTCTGACTCCCTTAGAACACAGTGTAACTTATGTATAGTGATACAGATTTATGCAATTTCTAGCACATGGTATTGAAATTGACGACGCCCCCATTAGCTGGTTAGGGAAATTCGATGCTTCCATGTGGATAAATATGGAATGCTTTGTGACAGTGCTTACAAGTTCCAAGCCAAGCACTTCGCTGAATATTGTGCGAATTTCACTACCCTGTGGCAGGTTTGCCGAGTGTAACAGCGCATGCATAAAATACCTTCTATTACCGCCTCAAACCAATCTTTCTACATTTCTGCAAAGAAGTGCTGTCCTCTTTTTCGATTTGTTCGTCATCCGCAACACATCCCTTCTAATTATTGAGACAAGAACACCCTTAGCAACAGGTCTGTTAAAAAACAGAGCGAACAGCTCTGCACTCACTCGTGTTTGTTGTAGCCAGTAGTAGCCTTATTTACTTCGACAGAAAGGGGCCAGCATGGATGGCATGTTCTCTTCTTCCCCCTGATGAATAACATAGAAAAAAAATCTAACATATTACCTTATCAAACCGACCTCATATTATCACTTATCTAGCAACTAGAAAGGTTCATAACATTAAACAAAGCATAAAATATCGCAACTCTTGGAGAGAAGATTGTGATCACGTGAATCAAGATCTATAGAGTTAAAAAACAATCGCGTATGACAGACTGACTATACTGTACTTCTACGGCTTTCCCAATCCTCCAGCTTATCTTGGATTCTATCACTGAGGTTAAACTAGAGTGCAATACAGCAAACTATGTTTCTCAACATACACCTCTTGTTGCCATTGAGTGACACCAATGGCGCTCTATTTGTCAAAAACCTCAATTAACTAACTTGGTCACCAAACTTAGACACAGACAGCTTTATTTTGGAGTGTCCGCTCTAAAACGCATGCTACATGGGCCCAAGAAATGATATTCAGCTGCTGAAGCATCAAGTTGCCGAACTGGCATTTTTTTCGAAGAGCTGTCGCACACCTAAATTTAGTGACATTTCATTAGATGGTGCCACCAAATGACCTTTGGCTTATAATAAAATGAGAACACTCATCTTAACAATTTTAATGTGCATTCAGGGATAGTGAAATGTAGAAATAAAGAAGCTATAGTGCCATCAGCATAAGTATATTCCATTCTTTTGAAAACGTTTTAGCTGACCACAACAGCTTCGGTTATAGCAAGTTGAACATAAAGCCCAGAATCTTGCATAGGACCAGTCATGTTAAAGCCGTTACAATTGTGATGTGAATGTCGTTATATTGCATTCAGGAAAAGACATGCAATTTGTTAATGAACATGAAAAGCCGAAGTATTTTTGATTAGGCAAGTGTTATTTCCTATAGTTCGTGTGCACTGCAGTTAACAAGTTTTGGTATCGAGAGTGCGCATTTCACTGTCGGTCAATTTCCAGCAAAACCATAATGTGATGAATGGCATTAAGGTGACTGCCATTTGATATCCACGTGTGGCACTACAAAAAAGGCCTTAACCTTTTACTTGCCAATGTTCCAAAATTGGAACATACGAAACCTAATTTTTTATTTCCTCTCCAATATATCACATAATAAAATTTTTTGTTCACGCATACTCATTAATGCTTGTGAAAAACGTAGCAATTTAAATTTTTAGTATGAACCTACGGAGAATCATTAGATAAATTTTCAAAAACAGGCATATTTTGCGCTCCTTGACCACCAGATGTTTGTTGCATTATTCCGCGGGAAAAAATAGTGTTGCAGGGAGCAAGGCAGAACTAAAATATCGGCAAATAGTTCGGGATTACGCGGCAAAACAATAAAAAATAACAAAGAAATTCTCATTTTCAGCTTGAGAGTCTCGTGCGGATGTTCCTTTTTTGGAACATTGGCGTGTCACAGTGTCAAACGCAGCGTAGACACACGCGAGCGTATCGCCTCGTTTTTTTTTTTTCGATTTTTGGCTTGTCGATGCCACCCTCTGGGCGGCGCTTGACAGAAACTTGAACATAAGCATTCCTGGGCGTCATTTTGAGTTTGCCAGACACGTGGAAAGAGCAGCATTGAACTACAGTGCCTAGCCACATCAATCCCTGCGAGTGTAAGTAGAAAACTGCCTTGCGGCTGGTATTATTTTTGTAGTACTGTGCTTTACACCGCAATAACTTTCGTTTTAGGTCATGGCACAACGCTTCCTCACTTTGGAGGCAGCAATTTACCTTTTGTTCAGCCTTCCCGATGACGAACGCGAAGGTGCATCTGTATGCCAATTGCCGCCTGTTGAAGATGGCAATATTACTGACGAGGAGCACGTGAACGAAAACGACTTCTCTGAAGTTGTTCCCGATGATGTTTGTGGGCACGTTGAAGTTATGCAGTGCAGCGATGAAGACGTTGATTCGCCTTCTGCATGTTCGAGTTCTGAGCCACGACAAAAGAAACCAGCGGGGCGGCAATTCACTGCTAGAAAAGAACGCAAAGCTTCAACGAACGCTCGGAAAACAGACACTCCAAAGCGCTCCCATACACCAGTATGGGATGACCATGCCACGTTTGACAAAACACTTCCCAGCGAGAGCCCTCCGTTCTTGCTAGAGGCATTTCCTGAGCTTGCAAACATGAGCCCATTTATGCTGTTCAGCAAATAAATTTCTCCGGAGTATCTTGGTTCACTGGCTGAACTAACTGCAAGATACGCACCCCAAAAGGGGGAGGAGGTGGACGTCACAGGAGCGGACATAGGTCAGTTTTTCGGCTTCTTACTTTTCAGCGGGTACCACTCCGTTCCATCTGAGGACTCGTATCGGAGCACTGCAGGCACTGCAGAAGATCTTTGTGTGCCTATAGTCGCGACAGTGATGGCCCGCAATAGGTTCCGGCAGCTGAAAAGGTTCTTTCATGTTGTTGACAACACTCAGTTGAAGGCAGGTGACAAAATGGGCAAAATTCAGCCATTTTACGACGAAATCTCCAAATGTTTCCGCCACTTTGGAGTGTTCAATGAAAGCCTCAGCATCGACGAGTCAATGGTGCCCTATTATGGCCACCACTCGTGCAAAATGTTCATTCGTGGTAAACCCATTCGATTTGGGTACAAAATATGGATGATGTGCTCTTCGAATGGAATTGCGATGGAATTATATTGTGGGAGGAAAGAGAAGGAAGACAAGACACCTCTCGGGATCAGGGTTGTTAGCAATATGGTATCGGTCCTGGAAGCGCCTGAACAGCACGAAGTCTACTTTGACAACTTCTTCACTTCGCACGGTCTCTTGACGAAACTGGCTGACCAGGGGATTCGAGCAACAGGGACTGTGCGACATACAAGAACCGGTGGTTGTCCACTGAAGAGCTTGAAAAACATCGAAAACAAAGAAAGAGAATCTTTCCACTGCAAGTGTGACGGGGCAGTCTACGCATGCAGGTGGAATGACAATGCAGTCGTCACAGTTTCTTCTAACCACCTAAGCCACGAGCCTGTTGGAAGTGCGAAACGCTTCTCACGACGCTCAAATTAAAAGGTGGACATCCCTCAACCATATTTGATCAAACAATACAATGAGGGCATGGGCGGAGAAGATGTGATGGACCGCCTCCTCGGAAGCTATCGACCGAGACTGAGGAGCAAGAAATGGTGGTGGAACCTTTTCAGCAATGGTTTGAACATGGCTGTCGTCGCAGCATGGCTCCTCCACTGCGAGCTTCACAAGGGTAGTGATGCCGCCATGACGCACATTGCCTTTCGGCGGGACGTCACCATGTCCTTGCTACAGCTCAAGCAGAAACTCACTGTGAGACCTGGACCCCGCGTTCATCCGAGACATGAGGACAGAAAAACTGATGGCCACTACATCATCTCAACGACTCAGGGAAGATGCGCGGAATGCAAGAAGAATACAACGAATCAGTGCCAGCAGTGCAAAAAGCGGCTGCGCAAGAAATGCTTTGCCGCTTACCACGGTTTGTGATTTGCTCACTGTAGTACAGCCAGTAGTATGAAAGAAGAAATTTTCGTAAAATATTGTTATAAATATTTATACTTTTCAGAGACATCGTATGATGCTAAATATTATTCTTCAGTTATCTTAAATAAGGAAACCCGACTGAAAAGTCAATAAAAGTTGTTCCAGAGAAAATGTGTGTTTTGCATATGGGAAATGCCAATGTTCCAAAAATGGAACATTCGAAAACATATGCTTAGTCATTGTGAATATGGCTGTATTTTTTATCATAGTTAATTTAGAAGGCCAATGCAAATTATCAACATAAATTTTAGTTTTTTTCCTACTGCTTCATAGTGCGGCGTTTAAAAGGTTAAACCTTAAAGGGGCCCCACAAAATAAGCGTGTAGCTTTCATTGCTTCTTGTTGTACAAGACATTATATCGTAGTGCTAGTTGTAATGCCATAAATGAACCTGTTATTTCTATGCAGAAACCATACTGTTTTCAAACAAGAGCAACAGCCAACGGCTATTTTCGTGCTTGGAAGCGACATTTGCCGCACGTATCGATTGGATCGATGCGACAAGTCGTACGTAGTATTCATATGGACCCAGATAGAGCATGCTATTGTGTGCTAAAAATTATAAAACCGCTCTTAATACTTTATCACATAAAGAAGATTTCCATGACTGTTTTTATTACAAAAATTTGAAAACAATTGGAAAACGACGCGGGGACATCTGCACAATGACCACTACGAGGCAAGTCGTCCGGTATGTTTGTAAGCGGTGCATGGTGATTGGAACCAGCCTTCGACCAGGGGTGGATCCAGCCACTCGTTTTAGGGGGGGGGGGGTCGTTTAAAGTAACATAGGAGAGGAGGCGTGGTCACTAATTTTTTTTTTGTTTTTACTAGCACAAAAACCCTATCATAGCATAAATACTGTTGAGGTGTGCTCAAAGGGATCCCACTCATTTGTTCTAATGGGCGATAGCAGGTGGAGGGCAATCACTGAAGAGAGGGGAGCGGGTGCTCACAGGCTTTGGGGGGGGCGGGGGGGGGGGCAATTGCTCTTACTGCCCCGCCCCCCTCTGGATCCATCACTGCCTTCGACGCTGATGGGATAGCGAAAGGGAACATTTTTTTCTTGTCACCTGCTGAGATATTGAAGTTGGAAAGCTCATAACCTTCGTTACCTTGCACCTGTTTCAATCTTTTAGCATTCATCTCAGTATTCGGCACCCCACGCGCTCCATCACTGCAAAATGCAGATGAAGAAGCATCGCAGGGCCCCTTGAAGGCATTAAGAAGTTAAGGCCATTTTTTTATGCCTGTCTGCCACAGGCATAAAAGTGTCACAATAAAACATATACACGCATAGTAACGGCCCTAGCTTTATTTGAACAGGCTGCATGCCGAACCCGTGTACAAAACAAACTCTGCTGTCGGTGAGGGTGATAGGGGTGGCTGCCTTACTACATGGTTTATGCGACTTAGCACTGACCGTATTATTCTCGCAAATTTTTTGCTCCGTCTCAACAAACAATTATTTCACTTGTTCAATGCGTCTTTGCATATCGGAAGCCTGTGATTGCCTCATGTGACCATCTTCCTGCCTGTTTCGTGGAGTCCTACATATTCGGGTGACTCGAGAGGATCCAGTCCATGCTGCTCCTTGGATGCCACCCAGAGATCATTTACACATGCAGGCATCGGTTTTCCGCAATACCGATGCAGTGATGGTTTTCCAGTGCCGCTACAATACAATTTTAGATATCGAAGAATCCAATCAATTACCTTTTCGATTTCACGATTTTATGAAATATTTGAGCAAAGTGATTACTCCATCAAGCCAAGTTTTAGCCGTGGTTGTGTTGCATGCATCTGAACAAAATGACTGAACAAACCCCACTAGTAATATTTTCTAGTATTCGTAATAACACTCGCTTTTTACATTCATTATCTTACAGCTAAAGTCATAGTCATACTCAAGGAACTGTGAAAATTCTTGCAATGTGTGTGTTCAATGCAGCACCTTTCCACGAGACGTAAGGAAAGCGCACTCACCCGAAAACCCAGTAAGAAAAGCCAAGCCAATCTCTACTGCAGTCAATAACCACTTGATGAACAGATGGCCATGTTCTCAGCACAAGTCTGCACAAAATAAAAGAACACTGTAACAATGACAGCAAAGCACGCTTACAATCTCCATAGCCTATTTTTTTTTATCTAAGGCAGGTTATCAACAAGTAAAAATTTGTCCAATATAGAGAGGATGGTCATGGACCTATATGCTTGTCATTTAAAGAGTAATAAAGATCAATGCTCAGATTTTCATGTATTTGATGAGCAAAATCCTTTAGACTGCTAAGATATGCAGTTTTGATGCAACAGGCCTGCCATTTTATTCTGACCCTGAAGAACCACTAGATTTCAGCCAAATGCCCAGTGAAACAAACTATACACCTATTATATTCAACTAAAAGATAACTCGAGTTTTCAAGAACGTAACTTTGTATATAGACTTTTCAAAGGAGAGAAGGTCAACTCCCGTTTAGGCTGTTGTACGAGAGTGAAATGCTGAAGCTTCAGCCTAAATAGTGCATTTTTGGGGAGCAACAACAGCCCATAGATAATTATGGTGGAGCTCGGGGACAGCCTTAGACAAGGTCATTATAGTACGATGCGCAGCACATGGAATGACAATTATGTTTATTCATAACCATATCTGCGTATGCATATAAGCACTTAAATTGCTGCACGTGAAGCCATTCCCGGTCATGAATACCACAACAGATGTTCACATAGCGAAACACTCTTTTTTGGGTGTTAGTATTTGCAACGTGTCAAAACATAAGCTGCGGAAAGCACTGCACGAATGCAACACAGACAATTTTTTATTCACTCGTCACATTAGGCCTTTTGTGCAGACCTTCAAAACAGAGTCCAGTCGTGCTGTCAGTGACCAATTACCTATCCAAAATTCGCCTTGCTGAAAAGCTCCAATAATAAAATATCTCACATCGGAAAGCCTTGATTTACATGATACCCTAATTGTAAATAGTCTTATGGCCCCGCTTATAGTGCCAGCAAATTATCCCAGAAAAGAAGTTGCCGGTAGTTTTTCTCTATTGCCTGCCCATGAACATGTGACTTATGTGGCGAGCCTGTCATGCTGCCGATATATGTGCCAGCAGAATAGGGGCTGCACTTGTAGTGCCGGCAGATGGCATAATGCATCAGAAACCAGCAAGTTCGTAGCACCGTGCTGTATTTTTAGCTTTTACACCGCCATTAGCCATTTTCGCTCTCCTACACTTAGCAACACTGATCACCATTGTCAAGGACCTGGGAGCAAGATCAAGTGGCTTTAGAGCTACAGTGTCTGAGCTTCCATCTATTGTCCAAAGCAAGTCGATGGAGTCAACCCGGCCTCTAGCATTTGTCGACGTAGCCGCTGGCAGTGGCGTGAAAAACGTAAGTACATTTTCTTTGTAACGTGAATGGCGTGAACCTAATCTAACCTAACCGATCATTGTTACTTGCAACCCTAAAACTGCCGGCATTCGGTCAACGCATATAACCTACCGGCAATATAGACACTACCTAGTTTTATCAGGTTCACTTGGTTGCAACTTTTTATTTTATATTTTTCTTCTCTCTCTACTACAATCTTTCAGTCCCCTTCCCCATACCTATACAGAATAGCATGCCAGCAATATACAGACACTAGCAAAAATCTCTTTTTCCTGATAAAGAGTCTCTCTCTCTTATTGAATCGTTCTTCACTGTCTAGTTACGCGCACTACATATAGTACGTATAAGTATTTATGGATACAACGTACTCGGCGAAAAATGCATAAACCTAGCGAAGGCACGCATTCACAGCGGCTACTTTCTCAGCAGCGACGTGCTCTGCGAATGAAACCCAACAAGACCAGTCGAAAAGGAAGAACGGGATCTGCGGCCACATCACGCAACCTCGTTCTACGGCTGCACTATAGAGGACACGTCAATTATATAAGCTGCAAACTACGCCAAGCATAGTCCCGAATCGGCTTATCGGGTTTGAATGGAAAAGAAAGAGACACAAATACATCACCGGATCCCTACACAGGGCGACTTAAACGACCGCGGTAATGGCTCCTACAGATAAGCACGCCAGGCAAGCAGCAACTGACGTGTCGCACATGCTGCTTCGCCGACAAACTAATTTTCTTTCTTGCTTTCAGCATCGCTAAGCACCATCAACCTAATGCGCGAAGCACTGCACCCGAATGTTGTGCCAGATACGCAAGATCCAAAATCCAATGTCGCGGAGGAGACGTCATACTGGAAACATGGTTCGATGCCGCACACGATCATTACGACGGTCTCTAGAGCTACTACTTTGCAGATCGCGTGGAACGCAGTGCTGTTACACACCTGAACGCAGTGGCAAAACGCACTTCACGCGGCGTAAAAAATGCTTCCTAGACGAACACAACGCAGAGCACTCATTCTCGAAGCAAAGAAAATACTTGTAAAACAACCTCGGCAACGAAGGTTCACGCACGGCAGGCTTAAAATATGCGCCTGCTAACTCTCACACTGTAGTAGTGGGCAAAAACAGCCATCGGGAAAGTGCACCATGGCTCAAACGGCCGCAGACATCGCACACTAGCAGCCCATGGCAAGTAGTGTTGAAGTTTCTGCTTGTTAGGCTTATCGCGGAAACGGTGCGCTAAGTAAGTGTATTTCTGCTGACGTATGGCCACCGAGATCGTCGCAATCAACGATAAAGGAGAACAGTAGTTACAGAATGCGTCCGGAAGGAGATCTTGGCCGACATTTCGCACTGTGGTATGCGTAACAAGGAAACGACAAGCACGAATGAGCTCCCGGCACCTCATCCGAACGGCAGCTTCGGACAACCGATCCGTCAGCGCGCGATATTCCGCCACAGAAAGCGCACTGGTCAGCAGTACAGGCATCCGTGCTAGCGCGTAACACTGAGAGAGAAACTGATAAATTATTACCAAACGGCGAGTGCCGTAGGTGCACACCCAATTCTTTATACGAAGCTCGACATTTAATTCTCGCCGAGACGGCAGCCATTATTGTACATAACCTCAGCTCTTCCCGGCAACCATTGCGAGAAAAACCCGGATGTGACATTTTCGAATTTTTCAAGAGATGGCACTGCTATAGCTTTGTCTAAAGGAGCGTGATATTCAAAATTTCTGTTTAAAAACGTGGGTTAATCCCTCCTCCCCCCACCTCGCACGGTGACAACTCCCAAACTCTAAATAAAGTATACTAATTCATTAGGTTTAATTGCTTCAACATCAAAATTTTTGGATTTTTCAAAAGATGGCACTCCTATAACATTTTTGTTGTTGCTCAAGATATTTAAAAATTTCGTGTTGCTATTGCTTCTACTGCAACGGCAGCCACAGCAGGTAAAAGTCCAACTAGTTTAAAGATCCTATCGCCCAATTCTTGTCCGATACCTCTTCAGAGGCGATGTCAGCAATATAAGAGGATCATCATCATCATCATCAGATTGCTCCCGCTGCACTGGTGGTGAAGCAGCAGCATTTACCGCCGAGTTTGAGCAGCACTGATAGCAACAGATTTGTACATTTTAAAATCGTTTAGGTTGCTGTTGATTTCACTGCAGAGGCAGCCGCAGCAGGTCAAAGTCAAACTAACTTGAAGAACCTGCCGGCCGATTCTTGGCCGATCCAACTTATAAAGGCAATATAAAGAGAACTATTACCTATAATACAAGGAAATTGTAGGAGCACTCTAATGTAATAAAAGAAAACTATAAGGCTATATGAAGCGATATATAATGTGTGAAAAACATAGGAGCAATATAAATTTGCTGCCGTGTGCTGGTAGCTGGGATACACGGTGTATGCGATCCGCCCGCTCGCTCGGACAAGGAGACGCGGCCATCGAGTATTATTTCGACTGGCCGCAGCCTTTTTTCGCAGCTAGGCATGCAGTTCTGGCACCGCCGTCACACTGGAAAACTCCGCTGCACGGCGTTTAGGTAAGGCATTTCATATGGTTGCTACTGTGGGCTGGTTGTGCAGAAGCGGCATTTACCGCCCAGTTTGTACAGCGGCACAGGTAGCAAATGTTTTGTACAATGTGAAAGCCCTTGCCTAATGCACAATATTTTAGCCGCCTTTACACTTTGCTAAACCGTTTGCCTACATGAAGTCAATAGATAAAATTCCGATAGCCAGGAAGAAACTTTATTTTAGCTGTCCGGGAGGCACGGAGAGGACCAAAGCCGCTAGGAAATTCGGGGATGTCTTGAAATGTACGCGGTGAAGAGCAGGTCCATCGGAGAGTCCCCTTCAGCTGCGACGGCGCTGGAGCCAGCGCACAGGTCCGTCTTTTACAGGTATGACACCGGCGATGAGCGATGTTCGGACGAGAATTGCTCTGCCCTCTCGATCTTCTTAAGCGGGAGACGGATAAGCGAAGTCCTGAGAGCCAGGAGGCATTGCAAAATCACGCCGCTTCGCTATAGGGGATAGAGTGCTTATCCGGCAGTTTTTGAAAAAGCCAGATTGGATTGAAGGCGAAATACTGCGCCGCGTCGGACCACGATCCTGGCTTGTAAAAGCGACCAAGGAAAGGTTCGGCGTCACCTCAATCACATGAGGAAAACGAGGTCAGACCAGACAACAAACCCAATCACGGACAGATTGGAGCGCAGCTGACGATCTCTTGGACGCAACGCCAGAAGAGACGCCATCGAGCTCAGCTGCTCAACCGCCTGAATCGCCCGAGATGCAAGATCACACTCCCTCGCAACCGTCGACGTCACAGGCAGTGGCCACTCGGCAACTGCGACCACCAGAGGTTAGGCGACCTCCAGACCGCTATGGAGACTTCGTCTAAGGGAGGAAGAGTGACATGTCGCCTTAGAAGACGACATTAACGAAGTGCGCGCGGGGCACTGGCGCTGTGGCACGAGCGCGAGCCTGGCGTCGAACGCTGGCCAGGAGTGACTCCAACGCCTGGGCTACGCTTTTGAACTTGTTCACGTTTCCTGTCCTTTAATAAATCGTCTACAGTCACAAGCGGCTGTACAGACGTAACAAATGTAATAAAAGAAAACTATAAGGCTATATGAAGCGATATATAATGTGTGAAAAACATAGGAGCAATATAAATTTGCTGCCGTGTGCTGGTAGCTGGGATACACGGTGTATGCGATCCGCCCGCTCGCTCGGACAAGGAGACGCGGCCATCGAGTATTATTTCGACTGGCCGCAGCCTTTTTTCGCAGCTAGGCATGCAGTTCTGGCACCGCCGTCACACTGGAAAACTCCGCTGCACGGCGTTTAGGTAAGGCATTTCATCTGGTTGCTACTGTGGGCTGGTTGTGCAGAAGCGGCATTTACCGCCCAGTTTGTACAGCGGCACAGGTAGCAAATGTTTTGTACAATGTGAAAGCCCTTGCCTAATGCACAATATTTTAGCCGCCTTTACACTTTGCTAAACCGTTTGCCTACATGAAGTCAATAGATAAAAATTCCGATAGCCAGGAAGATAACTTTATTTTAGCTGTCCGGGAGGCACGGAGAGGACCAAAGCCGCTAGGAAATTCGGGGATGTCTTGAAATGTACGCGGTGAAGAGCAGGTCCATCGGAGAGTCCCCTTCAGCTGGCGACGGCGCTGGAGCCAGCGCCACAGGTCCGTCTTTACTATGGGCAGGTAGCAGCCGAACTGGTCGGCTCAATTGCTGCGGCTCTTGTGTTGCAGCGCCCTTCGATATGGCCATGAACAGAAGCGGACGAGCGGAGCTATAGTGAAGCCACTGCTAGGCTCGTCTTCGGGGCCTCCCCCTTCCACGCCCCTGACAGGTTCCAGAGAGACTTCAGCCGAAGAGGGCCGTCAGGAGATGTCTGCAGAAAAATATGATCAGTAAAGGCATGCAGATTTATGACAAGGTTCCGTTCACATGAGAAAGCAGGTCCACCAGAGAGTCCCCTTCAGCTGCCGACGGCGCTGGAGCCAGCGCCACAGGTCCGTCTTTGCTATGGGCAGGTAACAGCCGAACTGGTCGGCTCAACTGCTGCGGCTTTTTTGTGTTGCAGCGCCCTTGGATATGGCCATGAACAGAAGCGGACGAGCGGAGCTATAGTGAAGCCACTGCTAGGCTCGTCTTCGGGGCCTCCCCCTTCCACGCCCCTGACAGGTTCCAGAGAGACTTCAGCCAAAGAGGGCCGTCAGGAGTAGTCTGCAGAAAAATATGATCAGTAGAGGCATGCAGATTTGTGACAACGTTCCGTTCACATGAGAAAGCAGGTCCACCAGAGAGTCCCCTTCAGCTGCCGACGGCGCTGGAGCCAGCGCCACAGGTCCGTCTTTGCTATGGGCAGGTAACAGCCGAACTGGTCGGCTCAACTGCTGCGGCTTTTTTGTGTTGCAGCGCCCTTGGTTATGGCCATGAACAGAAGCGGACGAGCGGAGCTATAGTGAAGCCACTGCTAGGCTCGTCTTCGGGGCCTCCCCCTTCCACGCCCCTGACAGGTTCCAGAGAGACTTCAGCCGAAGAGGGCCGTCAGGAGTAGTCTGCAGAAAAATATGATCAGTAGAGGCATGCAGATTTGTGACAAAGTTCCGTTCACATGAGAAAGCAGGTCCACCAGAGAGTCCCCTTCAGCTGCCGACAGCGCTGGAGCCAGCGCCACAGGTCCGTCTTTGCTATGGGCAGGTAACAGCCGAACTGGTCGGCTCAACTGCTGCGGCTTTTTTGTGTTGCAGCGCCCTTGGTTATGGCCATGAACAGAAGCGGACGAGCGGAGCTATAGTGAAGCCACTGCTAGGCTCGTCTTCGGGGCCTCCCCCTTCCACGCCCCTGACAGGTTCCAGAGAGACTTCAGCCGAAGAGGGCCGTCAGGAGAAGTCTGCAGAAAAATATGATCAGTAGAGGCATGCAGATTTATGACAAGGTTCCGTTCACATGAGAAAGCAGGTCCACCAGAGAGTCCCCTTCAGCTGCCGACGGCGCTGGAGCCAGCGCCACAGGTCCGTCTTTGCTATGGGCAGGTAACAGCCGAACTGATCGGCTCAACTGCTGCGGCTTTTTTGTGTTGCAGCGCCCTTGGTTATGGCCATGAACAGAAGCGGACGAGCGGAGCTATAGTGAAGCCACTGCTAGGCTCGTCTTCGGGGCCTCCCCCTTCCACGCCCCTGACAGGTTCCAGAGAGACTTCAGCCGAAGAGGGCCGTCAGGAGAAGTCTGCAGAAAAATATGATCAGTAGAGGCATGCAGATTTATGACAAGGTTCCGTTCACATGAGAAAGCAGGTCCACCAGAGAGTCCCCTTCAGCTGCCGACGGCGCTGGAGCCAGCGCCACAGGTCCGTCTTTGCTATGGGCAGGTAACAGCCGAACTGGTCGGCTCAACTGCTGCGGCTTTTTTGTGTTGCAGCGCCCTTGGTTATGGCCATGAACAGAAGCGGACGAGCGGAGCTATAGTGAAGCCACTGCTAGGCTCGTCTTCGGGGCCTCCCCCTTCCACGCCCCTGACAGGTTCCAGAGAGACTTCAGCCGAAGAGGGCCGTCAGGAGATGTCTGCAGAAAAATATGATCAGTAGAGGCATGCAGATTTATGACAAGGTTCCGTTCACATGAGAAAGCAGGTCCACCAGAGAGTCCCCTTCAGCTGCCGACGGCGCTAGAGCCAGCGCCACAGGTCCGTCTTTGCTATGGGCAGGTAACAGCCGAACTGGTCGGCTCAACTGCTGCGGCTTTTTTGTGTTGCAGCGCCCTTGGTTATGGCCATGAACAGAAGCGGACGAGCGGAGCTATAGTGAAGCCACTGCTAGGCTCGTCTTCGGGGCCTCCCCCTTCCACGCCCCTGACAGGTTCCAGAGAGACTTCAGCCGAAGAGGGCCGTCAGGAGTAGTCTGCAGAAAAATATGATCAGTAGAGGCATGCAGATTTGTGACAAAGTTCCGTTCACATGAGAAAGCAGGTCCACCAGAGAGTCCCCTTCAGCTGCCGACAGCGCTGGAGCCAGCGCCACAGGTCCGTCTTTGCTATGGGCAGGTAACAGCCGAACTGGTCGGCTCAACTGCTGCGGCTTTTTTGT